ACTGCCGGTTTGAAAGATGAGCTTTTGTTCAAGATTTTTACGGCTTTCCGTGCCACCTAAGTGCAAGGAAAGACCGCAGATTGCCATGTGTTGCTTTACCATTTCAACTTTGTTGATATATCCAAATTTGCATACAGTCTGTCAAAAAACGGATAAGTGATGGAGAGGATCGACGATAGAAAACTCTGAACATAAGCTTTAAATAGTCGGCTCGATCTCTGGATTAATGAATTTTATCGCAAAGAACAGCAATACGTCGTATCAAGCGCACAAGGAAAACAAATTGCAAAGTTCAGACGTTTTCAGGAGCAGCCGTTTTGATCGAGCCGCGACTCAAAGTGATGGTGCAGATGTCAAACTTACGGAGACCGCAGAATTGAAAAAACGGCTCAACNAGAAAATGGAGCTATGTTATTGGTGGGAGCATGGTAACGAGAAAAACAAGAATAAATTAGTGGAATGAAAAGCGTTCGTTGATTCCTGTGGGATTTAGACTACCGGTTTGAAAGATGAGCTTTTGTTCAAGATTTTTACAGCTTTCCGTGCCACCTAAGTGCAAGGAAAGACCGCAGATTGCCATGTGTTGCTTTACCATTTCAACTTTGTTGATATATCCAAATTTGCATACAGTCTGTCAAAAAACGGATAAGTGATGGAGAGGATCGACGATAGAAAACTCTGAACATAAGCTTGAAACAGTCGGCTCAATCACTGTATTAATGAATTTTATCGGAAAGAACACCAACACGTCGTATCAAGCGCACAAGGAACACAAATTGCAAAGTTCAGACGTTTTCAGGAGCAGCCGTTATAATCGAGCCGCGACTCAAAGCGATGGTGCAATTTCAAACTTACGGAGACCGCAGAATGAAGAAAACGGCTCGACAGGAAAACTTGGGACTCATACGAACAGCTAAGAATGTAATATTTGAGTTAGGGTTATTATATTTACTTTGCTATATGAATCGGATTCGTGTTAATTTTTACTATATCAATGTCTTGATGGTCACATGTACAGAACAGGATGGCGTCATTTTGTTTTTCTTCGCGATTCTCAAAAAATTGTTAAAAATCCCAAACTCATTTCCCCAAACTAAAATTTACATAATTTGAAAGATCATTAACTCTAGTATTGTCATTTGTAATCTTACTAAATTCTGAACAAAGGCACATGCTCAAAATTATCGTTGTTTTAAGCTTACCGTTTTACGCAACACGTGAGAGCCATAAGCTTTTGACTTCTCCTGAATACTGGAATTATCTAATCTTTACGAAATCAAGGTATTTGGACTATGATAAGTTGTACAACAACTTGGAACTATAATAGCTTTTTCTAGCGCTGTTGTTTTGATACGCGAGTCGAATGAATCATTATCTATTTTAAACCTGTTCGGTGTCGCCAAATCGATCCCGGGACTGAAAATGAAATGTTTTCGTGTTTTCGAAAACAAACAATTTTTTCAAAGAAAAAACTACACAGCAATTGTATACTTTCTTAGGGCCACTTGTATGCAAAAGAACAGCGAATTTTAGTTTTCTAACTTTGCCGTGCAATGTTTGATTTTTGCACGGAAATGCTATTAGGAACAGAAATATTCTTTAAATTTTTACACAGCCATTTCATACGTTCCCAAAAAATTAAATTAAAATGAAAAACGTGTCCACGAGAGTAACAGACATTTGTGACATATGCCATCTGCCCGATTTTAGTTAAACTTTGCCAGTTTTCAAAGGATCGACCTAAAAACTCAAAGTGACCAACTCGTTTCTGTTCTGGTTACTTCCGGGGAAAGATGGATCACCCCGCACAGTTTTCTTATGTTTTCGCTAAAAATCGCCTCAAAATAGGTCAAATAGAAGAAGCCCTTACAGCAACTTAATTCAACAATTTAAAAAATTGTTCTGACGGTTTCCATACACATTCGTATATCCTTAATAAACGTACGATACAAGTCTCAATTGATTTGATTGACGGCTTTTCAATCAACAGAGGTGAATAAATTAGTGTGCTCTTAAACTTTTCGATCCACTTAAATATTTGATAACTGAGGTAATACAAATATTTGTAACTTTAAATCACGGTCGACTGGCCACTGAAGAGAAAGGAGTCGCGAACTCGATATCGCTTTTATCTAAACCTAATCAATGCCGTCAAGACGCCTAAAATACTACCTTCGAATATGCTTAAAAAGGTGAAAGGAATGTACTTTTAAAACAATTCATTTCTAGAAAAAAAGATTCCAAACCCATTCATATAAATTTGGGCTTACGTTTGACAATGGAAGGGTTTCTATATTAGCTTACATGAGCTTTCAAACTAACAAACCGTATTCTACTCTGAATCGGAGTAGACTTCTGTAAGTAAACTTTCACTCTCAATTACTTCGCAAGAAAGACAAGATAGTCATTAGAACGCTACACAAGAAAATGATAATCAGTTTTATTTCGACACTACTTTCTAAATCTATTAATTCAATTCAGACTTGAACGAATTAAACCGTTAAAAACAAAACAAGACAAAAACAAAGGGAAACAAATAAACGGAAACAAAGTCTTATTCCTCAGCCTAACTGTTTCATTGGTAACTAGTTTGAGTTAATTTCATTCTTTCATCGTTGAACAAGAGCTCATTGTAAACAGCATTGTAGTTGCGTCGCTTTGGTTTCTACATGGTTTCGCCATGAATACGTTCAAAATGCATTGAAACTCTAACAATGTGGTGCTTCCCAGGAATGAGAAGAAATATTCAGTAAGCAGGGGAAAAACTACGACGATTTCCAAGCTATTCTTCGTAGAATTATGAAGAAAAGTGACAGTGACAAAAGTCTCAGAAATAAATTGTTTACGTAGCTGCAATATATATTTGAAAGATGAGTCAAAAGACACGAGATTTAACTGGAATGGAATAATGATAAAGTTTAATCGCCCATGTGGATTCATATTATTATCATCTTACTTGTTGTATCTATAGTTATCCTCTCTTTGTGCTTCTTGTATAACTCTCAAAAAAGATAATTTCGCTTTCTTTGAAACCAAAAAAGTTGTGTTGGCGATCTTTAAATAGCCTAGTTTAGGATATTCGAGAAAAAATATAACGTTGAAATCTCATTGCAACGACTGCTAAGTCGCTTCTGAAACACAACTAAACGGGGCGATGTTCACGACCCAGTTTATTACCAGTATTTTGCTAGGCGTGCCATTGTCAACAGACGTTCCCTTCCCCTTGCTAGCTAAATCACCCTAATAACTTCTCAACAAGCTTTTAACTGAGTTTTAGTCCAATTTAAGCTGACTCTGTACCAAGATACGGCGTCAGATTCTTGACAAATATGATGTCACAAGCCGATAGCAGTAGCAGCGCATCGGTTCCAAGCCTTTAACACATCAGCAATCTTCACTTCACATGTAATGCTTCAGTTCTTCCGAGGCTAGATCTCGGTAAAGATCTAGCAAAGAATTGCAAATAAGAGCTTAAATAAAAATTACTCTTAATTTACAATCGAAGCTGGACGACTATCGATTTTCATTACATGTATCAGGCCAGAAGCCCTCAATATCCACTCTGGTTTAACCTTTGACTCTAGTGAAGAGAAAAGTAGGACCGATAAAGTCTTGGAGTTTTGAAATAGTTAATGCTTAGGTGGCAGGACGAACTCAATTTACGAGGGCTAGAAAAATTCCATAATAAAGCAAGGCCGTTGTTGAGCAAAACACATCAAGCTAATCATGGAGAAGTTCGAATTCAGTGGAAGCGAAGCGCCATTTATTGGACATGTGATGACGAAGAAGCAAAGGAAAGGCAGATCCAAGGAAAGCTGACGCAATAGTCAAGACGGTGCGGCCTGTAGATGTGCCAGCAGTGCAGAGATTTAGAAGGCAAGTAAAGTACCTATTTAAACTCCTACAAAACTCTTCAGATGTGAGAGCCAATACTCCGCCTGATACACAAAAATGGCGACTAAATCTGGATCCATTGGCAGAAAGATGCCTTCGAAAAGATCAAAGACGCGGTTTCCAAAGAGCCAGCACCTCAGCTAGAGTGACCTAACAGGGGGTCAAGGAGATGTGTCCATGATGAGCTTGGCTTTTTAGTCATTCAGTATGGTCAACCAATGACATTTTAATTGCAAATAGGGCGCTCACGTTGATAGAAAGGAAGCACTCGCAGATCGAAAAGGAATTTAGGCTCCAGTCTTTGGCACGGAGCATAACAACAAATATGTAGACTGATCAAAAACCCTGGTCTCCATTTTGCAGAAGATCTCAGCATCAGCACCCAAGAGGCTCCAGCAACTCTTGTCGCGACTTCAGCGGTGTGGCTACAGGCCTGGGATATGTTGCCGGCCGACACTCTCTCAAGAGCTTGCCACCCAGGTTTTTCCCTTTTTTCAGACCAACAACTTAAGGAAAACCAGGCAGAGAGAGACGAATTGTGACCCAGCTCCACAGAAATTGGAGAAAGCAATCCTGGAACACTTCCCAGATGCAAAAGAAGTTCGCGTAATGGCCATCTATCCGAGATCTTCTAGGCAGGCTTCAAGCAGCCCCATTAGCAGAGGATGAAACAATTCCTAAATAACTAGAAAAACCCACATTGTCAGCTCCAAGTAAGGCCAAAATTCTATCTGTAACACCTTGCAAGCTCCAAGCAATAGAGTCCAGGACCACGAGATCTAAACGGTTCTCAAAGCCACCAAGTTACTTGATGAAGTTAGCATAAAAATGATGGAATGGCTAACTTGGCCTGGATTATTATCATAACTTGCCCTGGACTATTATCTTATTCATCGCTTAAAGTCATTGGGAATTTACAGAGCTAGAGGACGTAGAGCTGGTGTTAATTCTAGATTTGGATCTCGTCAACAACATCACAAGATTCCAGTTCGTGTCACTGACCACTGTTTTTTATCAACCAAACACGCACGACTTCGACCAGAGGATACAAATTGCATTTCATTTCTACTCACTCTTCTTCTTTACCCCGACTAATCCCCAAATGTATGGTCATCAATGCAAGATCTCTTGTTAAAGTTGATGCTGCTTCTGCTTTGCATATGGAATTGCACTCAAACAACTGCGATATTTGCATCATCTCCGAGACATGGCTTAAACCAAATTTTCCATCTCATCTCATTTGTCCGAAGGATTACTCAATTTTGCGAAAGGATAGAATTGACCGGTCAGGCGGTGGTGTTGCTATTGTCTGTAGGAGCGATTGGTTATTCGAACGATTAGGCAGCGTTTTTCATAATGCCTTTGAATGCTTGTGGGCTAAGATTACAACTCCCAACTCAAGTTTTTATGTGGCTGCTGTTTATCATCATCCAGATCCGCCATATTGTCCTGATGATTTATTGGAACATCTACCAAATAGTTGTGATCGTTTATTGACTGGTAATCCTAACAGCAACCTCATAATTTGTGGTGACCTCAATCAGCTAGATTACAATGATTTTCTTACACAACTAAATTTATTCCAGATGGTGAATACACCGACAAGAAAGAACAAAATTTTGGATGTTTTTATAACTAACGTCCCACATTTTTGGAGGAAAGTATCGGTCACTCAAGGACTAGTTCGATCTGACCACTCTATGGTCCTGGTATATCCCAGAATCCCACTTAAGGCTGAAAGGAAAACTGTGATGTTTAGAGATGTTCGTGATCATCATAAACTGGATATGGACAAACTGTTGAAGTTTCATAACTGGGACAATGTTTATCAATGCGGAGATGTGAATGGAAAACTTAATCTTTTTTGTACCAAGATTAAGTCCATGTTTGATGAGTGTTTTCCGCGTATATCAGCACGTGTGTCTAATAGAGACCCCCCATTCTTTTCTCCTCTAATCAAACATCTACTGGACCAACGGCGAAAATTGATTCAGCGAAGTAACATATCAGGAAATTCTGTTTCGATTGAGATCCAAACTCTTCAAGAGAAAATCAACAAGTTGATCAGAGATAATCAAGTTCGGGCAGTTAAAGGGAATTTTGAGAAACATAGTGCAGGATCCAAATCTTGGTGGTCAACAGTTAATTCCCTGACAGGAAGGAAGTCTACCAACTCGCAAGTAAGCTCAATTATCTCCCCGAGCGAGATCAATAATTTTTTCTGTTCCATTAACACTGATCCCCTTTATAAACCCATTGACACTGTCACTATCCCGGAATCAAGCGAGATGCCTGTTTTAACGGTCTCCAGTGTTACCAGGAGTCTACTGAAATTAAAAAGAACTGCCTCTGGTCCAGATGGAATCCCGTACTGGTTTTGGAAAGAGTTTGCGTACGACCTCGCTCCTGTTGTTACCCATATTTTCAACTGTTCTTTGGAAAACCACATTGTGCCTGATCTTTGGAANCGCAAGAGAAGACAAAGAGTGCGCACGCGAAACAACAGTAAAGAGTGTGCCTCTCTACGCTTGCCAGATATCAGTTAATGATGAATCGAGTTTTAATGAAACTATTTTTGTCTGAGATAATTGATGTAAGGTGTAGGATAAAATAAAAGCACTCTTTTTTCAGCTCAGTTAAGTTCAATTATTTGTGGAGTTGTTTCAAATGTCCCAAAAGATTTCTCGCCTTTCAAGATTCTGTTCTCGATAAAGGTACTTATGCTGGAGGCACTGTAAGCTGCAGCTACAGTTGTTCCTCAGCGGTACCATTGATACAGTCATTGCTCACGTAAAACATTACCAGCTTTAGAGTTCAAGTAGGAACTCTTTCCAGTGGAAAGAAACGGAAAGAAACATCATTTGGGGCACTTTATTTTCTGCTCTGAATTTGGGAAATTGACCTTTGTACTAAGCAGTCCTACATTTGATAATTTGTTTATCATAGAGAGGGAATCCCAAAGAATTATTCGAAGAAACTTATTCGCAGCCCCCAGTTAAACAAACTCGCGGCTGAAGTGGGCCAGTTTGATTAACTATTGCTTATAAATAGATAAACAAATAAATAAAAATCATAGATCAATTTTGAATACACCTCCAAGCCTCAGCTTAAAATAAACCTTAGCGTGCATTATTGGCTTTTAAAAAGAGGGGAAAAAAAGAGAGATTATTTTTAGTGCAAAGGGTGATTATTAATCCTAATAATTCCCCTTCGAATTAGCTTCACTCTTACCCTTCCTTTTTGCACTCTGCCCACTGAGGTTAAGTTGGCCTAATATTAAAATTTTTAATAATAACACAAAGTATGGGGCAAAACTGGATGAAGATCGATAGGCTAGCGAAGTTAGACTATACTTGAATGACAAGGCTTATAATGCTTCACTGTTCTTGTTTTAGAGAGTAAAAATTACCACGTTAACACATACAAGTCTCCCATCATTTATACGCTTTAACTTGATGAATGCCTTGATTTCTTTTTTCCTGTTGTAGGCGTCTGAATGATAACTATCTCAAGGAATTGCCTCGAGGAATTTTTACAAACGCAACTGATATGTATTCTCTGTGAGTAGTGAAGCTGTTGTCTTCATTAAAAGTTCATGTGAGATGACGACAAAAGCGTACAAAGAAATTTTTAAAATAAACCTGTAGATCAAAGCTGCGTCTAACAATCTATAAGTCTGCTTGTAAATGTCTCAAAGTATTTACTCCCTGAAAATCGCATCAACTTTTGACAAGCCTTTTCAGCTTTGTTCGGGCCTTTTGTTAATACGGACTGCCAATCCAAACAGCCTTTTAAAGTAAGGTGGTTTAAAGAGACTAAATCATGCAAATAAAGGATATTTCAGTACTCAGCATTTGGCAATAAATTGGTCCAGATTAGCTGAGAGAATACGATTGAAATCGTAGAGGCAGGCTCGGAAAAGCAAATGATAGTGAAAATAATACAGAGTGATCATAATAACAATGACGAAAATGACAATAATAATTATAAGGATGAATAAATAGTAAGAGGCTGAAATGAAATAAAATGAACGGATGAGAAGGGACTCGGATCGGGAATAGAAGATTCAAACAGATTGCATTCCGGTAAACTTGAAAAACGTCGATCGGCTTTGGCTTTCAGCTTTGGCTCTGTGTATATGAAAGTGTTCTTGTAAATGTACAGAGTTCTTGCTTGCTTAGGCGCTGTCAGAAATACATAACCACATGTATTTATTAATTTATTCAATTATTATGGTTTGAGGATCTCAGTCCTTATATATGTTTAAATACCTTAATTTACAATCATAGACTAATAGGCAAAATAGGGCCAAAGTGAGAAAGGAATAAATTTGTCATGGCGGTATAAAAATCCCAATTGGCAGGAAGGAGACCATTTGCCTATTTACGGAATACAGCAACGACGTGAAACCGGGTACCGTAAAGAAGAAATTTCATGATTGCTAGAGCGGAGGGCTTGAGCACTTTAACCATTCGGTCTCGCTACCCTTAATCAAGTGGCCTTGAGAAATACGAACAACTCTTCCACAGCCTTTTTTGGGTATAATTCTCTTTCACTGCAGTTTTAAGGCACTGCAGTAATGTAAAATTCCATATACAATTAACAAGCTCTTAGCTTCGCCTTTAATCATTTGGTCTTTATGTCTAAGGGACTTCTCTGGAAACCCCTTGAGGGATCTGCAATCCGATATTTTCGCCACAAATACTGCCTTACAGTATCTGTAAGTAGGTTTTTTACTATTTTGACGAGACTTTATAGGACTAGTGATAAAGGATTACAAATGTTAAATATGTCTTTATATATTGCATTTCGTTGAACTTTTACCTCATCTATTTGAGCATCATTTTTAAACTTATAAAAAACATTTCCTGTCACGTTGCGATGAAAAAATGAATTCTACACTGATACTGTCAGACCTAATGATTGACACAAGGAAGTCCTTGACAATACAATAAATAATGTTGGGAGTCTATAGATAAGAAAATATAAACGACCATTCTAGTCTTCTGAGAGGGAAATTACGACAGTGCATTTGAGAATTAGCAAATTAAGACAACCCAAATCTTTTAAAGAAACTTATTGTAAACCGTATCGTGTATCATTAGACTGTAAACAAGTAAAAATGAAAAAAATGTACAAATCTCTTTGTTAACCTAACAAGATTGGACTACAACTCATTTTCCCATGCTTATCAACTCATCTATTCCTAAAAATGTGTAACCACCGAGTGCATCTGTATTAACAAATCTCACATTTTCTCACATCCACTGATATGATTGCCAATAACATTAAGTTTTAAAAGTATGAAAGTAAAATAAAAACATTCCTGTTTGGTTATATCTTTTATAAAATTTGCCAATCATAGCCTACGCCCGATTATTAGGGGCTTGGGTACTTAGTATCTGCAGGCAAAAAGACTGGTTCAACATTCCGGTTTTGGGTTAGAGTTGATACATAGTCATGGAATGATGAGAATATATTATATGCTTATTCGTTGGTTCTATTTATTATATAAAGTTTCTTATCAACTACCATGGAATATGAAAAGAAAGTAGCGCCAACTCCGATTAATAAGCTAGAAATCGCCCTCGATCGCGAACTTATCGCGAGCTTTGTGTTACTCACCGTGTGCCATGCTATGCTACAAATCCATTATATTTATAGTTACTTGTCAGAGATACACTTACATCACCTGCCCTCAGGACTCTTTGACAAAAACACAAGGCTGCAGCTTTTGTAAGTAACACTCTACAATCTGCGAGTCTTACACTTTTTCGCTGTACGTAAAGGTAACACAACATCGAACATTGGGTTAAAATGACGAAGGAATAAATACAACTCAAAAGATCTACTCTGCATCTTTCATCTAATGATATGTGTTTATTTCAGTCCTAAGAATCAAATCACCCACAGCTAATACTAGTAGCCAACTTTCAAGCCTGCTGACTGGGAACTCCGATTTCAGATCTTAGCGGCACAGAAGTTCTAAAACCCTCCGATCGCATTTATTTTTTCCTACCTGTTGTTGTTTTTGAATCGATACGTCATCTAGTGTTAGAGACAATACACAGTTTTATCAGATCCTTCTTTTCTCGTCGCCATTTTTAGAATTCACGTGAACATAAGGTCTTAAGTCAACTGCCGCATATCTTTGACACTAAATACATTTTGTTTCCCGAAATGACGGCTTATGTAATTTTGTTATCCATATAACAGGAATCACAAAATGCATTCAGTGAGAAAAACTTCAACACATTTCTACTATTGACACATATCTACTACAAACCTCGTCAATTCAAATAGATTGTAGCGTGTGGTACAATGGGTAATATAAACGAAAGAAGTTAGTTAGTTACCTCCACATTAAGTGAAGCTAATTCTTCGTTTTTCTACTTTGTCAAAACATCAGCGAGGTCCAGTAACTGTCACTGAAAACAACCCCTAAAAGTATGAAAGTCTGTATCTTATCACAGCTAATTAGTTTCATATGGTAAAATACACAGACGCCTGAATGACAATGACCTGAAAGGACTTAATGGAAGTGTGTTCAAAAACTTGACAAACTTAAAGGAACTGTAAGTGATTCTATCAAAAGTGCATTGGAAGGAATTCCTCGTCCTCGAAAATAGTTATTTAAACTATTCACTTTCGCTGGCTTTGATTAAACGTATCGTGATCTGTATTATGAGTTTTGATGTAAAATGAAACAGAAACAGATGAATAGAACTAGAAAGGTTCTGAAAAGGATAATCAAATATAAAGTCTTTTGTCGCCAAAGGATGACTAAACTCGCACAAGGCACCCCTTCTAAACAGGTTTGTTGCAGACAGGGCCGATCGAAATGTTTTCTGACGCAAAGTACTTTACATGCAAAACAAAATATTTTTTCTTTCATGGATCAAATTATGCAGTTGTTTGATAAAACTGCTCTCTCAAAATACAGCAGCACCTCCCTTTATTCTCTCCATCATTTGTTGTTTATTTTTTCCCTTATCACCCTTTCCATCCAGTGGCTGGACGACAAGTCGGTAACATACTACTTTTATAAAACTAGATCGCATACAACATTTAGATCCTGTTTCTTACAGGTGGTTGCAAGACAACAACATCACTGAATTGCATCCTGAACTATTTCAAGGTCTAAAAAGTCTAAAAGAACTGTGAGTTATTTTCATACTAAGCTTTCCTCTGAAATTGACCCAATAACTGCCCAAAGTGTCTCAGTGATGATATCAGCGTGGACATCACACCTTATTATTGGTAATGTAGGTCTGACATGGATTCTGCCAGTCACATACCCTTCTTTGTCAGTAGCTGGAGACACAACGAAACATTTTCTTACAGCAGATTTCCTAATCGTAAATTATGTTTTTTTCGCCGTAAAATTAAAATTTCCTACAATGGGAGTATAACAAGGGTACCGGTCTCGCAAAAAAGAAAAATTTTGCACAAATTCAAATCTCACAGCACTTTTTTTTATGGGATATCTTTCTCTGTTTTGAGGCATTCTGGTATTTTCTTAAATCATGACTTTGATTATTTCTTT